CTCACAGAGTCTCTGCAGTGTGTTGAGAGGCTCATTGAGATGCACTGGCATCGTGACCTTGGACAAGTCTTTGCCTATGTTTTTCCTGAGTATGTTCCACAGGCTGAATGTGTTGCTGTTTGGACTAGGCGAGGGCAGGCAGGATCTACGACGACAAGAGACAACGCCTTCTTCTGCAGAAGCAGGTTTGGGAGAGACAGAAGGTGCGTAAATAAAATAATGTAGATGTCCACCTTATTCCTGGCCAGGGTCATGGAGAAACGATGATGCGAGCAACAGCCGGTGAGATACCGGAAGTAGCGCTTGGGTGGTGAGGTTTTGTTGCTCGCTGCAGTTTATTTAAACATTTGAAGAGGATTAAACATATACAATATAAATAAGGGATTGCATTGTCTTAATGTAAATGAAGGCAGACTGGAAATCTGTCGGGTTCTTCATGCAAACGCTCATGGAGGGTGTAGGAATAAGGTGGATACAAGACACACAAATGTCCCCTGTAACTAAGTTGATAAAAGTGCAGATTTAAATTCATTCACCTTCTGTGTCATTGCTAAAATTATCCATGGAAACGTTGTCACTAATATCACTGATGTATGAGTCATCTGATACCTAAAAAAAGAAACAGACATTCAAACTGAATAAACTGATGAGAGATACTTTTACAGCACTTATAGAAAGAAGCCGTTTTCTTCCAACATCCCAAACACTCCTTGTTATAAACAGAAACGAAGGCTCTTTCTGCACCTTGTGATTAAAGGGCAACTTAGCTTGCTGTATTTTTAGATGAAAGTAATTTAAATCTATTTTCTCATTGCCTCGGCTCAAGCTGGCTTTTCATCTAACACACAGCGTTAAGTCTGAAAGAAGTACAGAAATGACACGAACCATCTTTTAAACCATCTTTTATAAACAATATTTAGAATTAGGATTTAAGGTTTTACCCAGCAAATATGCCCTTTAGGGCCCCTATGTGGGATCTCTCTGGGCATTGCCCACAGTAGAACCCACAGCTGTCGTGAAATGTAGGGCACACGCGGGCCCCATCATTTGGGGCCAGGTAGGGGCCCAACAGGACTTGTCCCTCATATGTGGGCCATCACTGCGGGGCCCTCATGTGCCCTGCATTTCACAGCAGACCTGTAGGTTTCCCACCATTTACCATTTGAAAAATATATATATATATATTGTCACGATGTAGGTGTGGATGACAGCGGACCATGTGTGGCAGAGCTGACCAGGAGGTAAAAAATGCAGGCTTCAGTAAAAGTAAAATGGTTTTAATGGAGGACTGGGAACGACAGGAACAAAACACAAGGACTACAAGCAACAATGATCTGACAAAGGACATAACGAGATGGGAGGTATAAATACTCTGGGGAAAATGAGGAACACATGGGCAGGCTAACAAGGGGCAGGTGAAACCAATGAGGACAATCAGGGCAGGAGAGGGACACACAGTCAGGAAGGCAGGGGCAGAACGTGACATATATAATAATGATTAGATTTAGATGGCACTTTTCACGTTACCCGAAGTGCTTTTTATTATTCATGAACTCACACATTCACACACTCCTGGTGATCTACTAATTGGCCAATGCTGCCTTATAAGTCCAACATGGGGAAGTTAGTCTGAACAGAGCTGGGATTGGGGCCAATGCCGCCATTGCTCTCTCAAAAATATAAAGAGAATCAAAGATGGCAAACACAAAGAAACTTGAAGAATGCCTCACTGAAAAACTCTAAAAATATGAACATTTTATTCATCCGTGACCGGAGGAGTAAAACGATATGCAGCAAGCATTTTATTTGTGGACGGAAATGACGGAAAAAGTAGGTTTAGAGGTGGTGAGTGCATGAAGAGGTGAAGGAGAATGAGGGACAAATTTGTACGTGCTAAAAAGTCTCTTAAATAAAAAAGAAAAACACAATATTAAACACACTAACTTGGACTGGATACATGACAGGATACCATCGAAAAGCACTACGCCCTCTGTTGTCCTGGCGGGAAAATGCTTTGCAACACTCCCCGTCCAACTGACGAACAAGTCAGAGAGCAAAACGTCTCTGTTTGTGCCCGTCTACCTTGTGGAGCAGACGGAGAAGTATAAATTAGGCTTTATTCGACTTCACTCTCCACCACCAGTTTCAGCTCCAGCCTTGAGGAGCCTCTGACCCCTCTGGTTGGATGAAACAGTGTTGTGGAGAGAACTGAAGCTAGCACACGGAGCAGTACAGAAGGATTATCTTGTAAACCTAAGAAGCTCAGTCTCTCCTTAAGACTGAAGAACAACATGAGAAATAAAATGAAGCTAAACACTGGAAACTATTTTCAAAGATGGAGATGTTAGGACCAGATCAATTTCAGGAGGGATACAAAGTTCTCCTGGACAGGTAAGAGTTGGTATTTTGTTGTTTGACCAAACAAAAAAATCAGACTGCATTTTGTTACCCCTGGAGCTCAAAGCTAATCAGCATCAACGCTAGCGGTGGTTAGTTAGTCATTTTCACTTTTCGGTGAGTGTGTGTGTTTACTAGTGTTTATTTTGTTACAGAATGTCCGCCGACATGTGAGGAGGGTTCAAATGCTCAGTATTTATAACCTCAGAGCTTCCTGGTATCAGCCCCGCTGTCGGTGGCCTTCATGGCCCGCAGCCGGGACTGAGGCTTGGTTGGGCGGCTCGGCGCTGCTCAGCACCATGGCAGTTCCTGCCCTGCTCTCGGTAAGGAGAGGTTTTTGAGTGGAGTTATGATGGAAAGTGCTACTAAGTATGCTACCTGTGTACAATGCCTGTTCTGTTCAGCTAAGCCAGTTCATAAGAGGTGCTGTAAGTGAAGTTCACACCATGAAACGTGTCTAAATGATTTATGATGTAAATACTGGCCGTGCTGCCTAAATATAGATTAAGAGAAAAGCTCATAACTTGTCACACCTGCAGTCATTATCAAGGATAATCTCATCATTTTGTTGCACAAAGCTGGATTGAAAACTTAATTAAACTCATTTTATAATCTTCCAAATAAAGGATGGCTGTGAGGAAATAATTCATCCTTATGATGTAAAGTTGTAAAATGATCGTTTTTGTAATCCTTTATTAACTCCAGCGCAATCATTACAGACAAAATGAAGACGCCACCCATCCTCTTCTGATCGATCGATAGTCGTACCGCAGAAGCAGTCGTCCATCGACAGACTTCCTTCTTCGTGGGAACTACTGCCAGGGACATGAGGGACTCTTGGGGTCTCCAGGCCAACAAGGAAACGCAGTTCCTCATTTAGCTAGGATTTGCAAAATACAGTCATCTCATCTAGTTGAGTTTTTATTATATGTTTTTATTTTATTTTTGTACACAGTTGCTTTTACAATTACAGTATGTTTTTATTTTTGTTGTAGTAGGAATGTAGATCGACCGGTAATTCAGGAGCTTTGCCTTCCGGCCCAGCTCCCTTCACCACGACAGATCGGCACAACACCCTCATCCCTGCAGATGCAGCACCATTCGATCTCACACTCCAGTTTTCCCTCACTCGTGAACAAGAACTCAAGATACTTAAACTCCTTCATATGAGGCAGGACCTCTTCCCTGACCTGACGAGGCCATTGTACCCTTTTTTGTTTCAAGACCATGGTCTCGGATTTACAGGAGCTGATTCTCATCAAAACACAGATCCCACCGTGGGGTGCCCACAGAAATAATTAACGTTAATGCACATGTGCAATCATCCATTGGGCTGGTCCAAGGCACGCCACAAAATGCTCAGCATGGGATAGATGTGGCCAGATTCATCCGTGGGTTGCCCTTAACTAAATCTAAAATGGGTCCATGTGGGAAGATGCATGCGAGCCCCATTCATGCAACCATACACAAGATCCTTGTGGGTGAACTCTGGGGTAAGTGTGGGTTGGTGCTGCCCACATTAGCCAGGACACAACCCACAAAGCCCACATTGGGCCCAAACAGGCATGTTTGCTGGGTAGCGTCTGGTGGTGTTAAACTTTTCTCTGTGCAGCAGATTTTTGTAAAACTCTGTTTCCTTTAGAGCAATTATTTATTTACGCCAGTTTTATATATCTGTTTTGTTGATGTAAGAAAATAACACTGACCATCAATATTAAACAGTTCTGAGTGTCAGCTCACATGTTAAATCCTCACAAAAGCAGACAAGAGTTTGTCGCCACACATACCTCATTCTCAGATGAACAAGCAGACAACAGAACTTCCTGTGCATCGAAGAACTCACAAAATGACTCTGCAATTGAAGCTCTGCTCTCATTGGATATCTGGTGTACGAGAGGATGGGAGTCATCTGCAGAGTCCTGTTTCTAAGGGAGACCGTACCCAGAATGATCACGTGACAGCAGTCACAATTTGGATGTGGAACACCAATCACAGAAAAATAATAAGAAACACAACATAAGTAAACATTCGCCTTTTTGGATCAAAATGAATTTAAACAGAATCTCAAACTGCTGGTGTGAATGCAGCAAAATGCACAAATGCATAAAACATGCAGCAAGTTGCAAACATGAAGTTGTATTCAAGCATGGAGGGTGTTAGATAAAAACTGATATTATCATTATTGAACTAATATTAATGTCTTGGCTGTTAAACATTTGGTGTCTTATTAAACGTAGCTTCATCCTTTTCATCCGGTTGATAGATACCAGGCTCCAGTAGGTCTTACA